GACATGCCTCTGTGTATGTGTGTATGTCTCTGTGTGTATGCGCATGTGGGGGCATGTGTGTATGTGTATGGTATGTGTGAATCTGTGTGTATGGTATGTGTAGTGTGTGTGTGCCTATGATATATCTCTGTATGTGTGTATGTCTCTGTATGCATCTCTGTGGTCTGTGCATGTGGAAGGGCATGTATGTACATGTATGGTGTGTGTATGTGGTATATCTCTCTGTGTGTGTGTGTGTTATACATACATGTGCAGATCCACATACCTGTACATGTTTAACCTTAGGGATCTCCCTCTAACTCACCCCATTTTGTTTTTTGGGACAGCATCCTCACTGAACCAGGAGCTAGCTATTTTGCCTGGTCTGGCTGGCTGATGACTCCCAGAAGCCACCTGTGTCTCCCCGGCACTGGGGTTGTGGAGGCATGCCACCACACCTGCCTCTTAGTAGGTGCTGGGGTTGACTCAGTTCCCCATGCTTGCACGGCAAGCCCTTTGCACATGACCCACCGAGCCATCTTCCCAGTTCCCAATGTTGTGTTTTACCCAGATCTGTAGCATAGTCCCTGAAAGCACATTCCCTTCACGAACTTCAATGTTTTTTTTTTTCCTTTAAAAAGAGCGGCAGTTTATACCTCTGCATTGAAAGGATTACCTGAGTGTGTGATCTTGTAAACTTAGCAGAGCCTGTCATGTTTGTAAGCTTTGCACATGGACAGGACACATGGTGCTGTCGACCGAGAGGCTGGGCCGGAGGGCTGTATTCCTGCCCATCATGTTCACCTGCTGGCCCCTAGACTGTTTGCTTCTAGAAATGATCAATAGTGGGCTGTGGCGTTTGAGAGAGCAAGGTGACAACTGAAGTGTGACAACTGAAGTACTGAGAAGCATATAGCTCAGTGGGCATTTGGTGGGGTGATTGACAGTCCCTGCATTCCCCAGCATGCAGCTCACCCACCTACCATGAGATGTGGATTGATTTCTCCATGGGATACTGATTTGTGCTGACTCAGCTATGTCAGCCTGTCCTCTGCTAAACTGCAGGGAGAAGAAGGAGCATCTGAGATGCCCTGGTGGAAAAAGGGAGGGCTCCAGGAGCCCAGAATTAGGTCCTGACACTTTCCAAAGAACCCTCCCTGGGAAGATGCAGGGCTGAACCCTCAACCTCATCTAAAAACCAAACTGTTTCTTCACGTGCTCGGTTTGAGCTCCTTGGGATGTGCACAGCCAGGACATCGCAGCCCAATGCTGCCAGTCTGACTTGTAATATCAGATCGGTTTCATTAAAAACCATAGTGAAAAGCATCTGATCATATGTTCGTTGGGTGGATGTTTGCCTGCTATGTAGTAAACATTTGAAATCATTCTCACTATCAGACTATAAAACTTTTGCCTGGTGTGAAGGTGCAAACATACGATCCCAGCACTGGGGAGGCAGAGGCAGGAAGATCACAAGTTGGAGGCTAGCATGGGCCACACCATGCCTAGACCTTAGCTCAGAAGAGAAATGGGGGCAAGGATGGATGAAGAAATTAAAGAGACTGTTTCATTGCCCCAGGAGACATTTGTGGCTATGCTCCCTGCCCCAGCTCCTGGTAACCATGGATTGTTGCCATTGCAATAGGTTTGAAATTCATATAAATGGAATCATTTACTATATATTATTTTCCCAAGGGCTTCAGCCTCTTATTTTATTGTGGTAAATTTTACATAACTTAAAAATAAGGTTTCAGCTATGTTTAAATGTAGCTCAGGAACATTGAGAACATTTGCATTGCTTTCTAGCTGTCACCACCATCCACTCTCTAGAACTTTGTCTCCATCGAGTGCTTCTCATTCCTGTCTTCTTCACCTTGTCATCATGGGTCTTTGGACATAGAATCTTGCTATGTTTTAGTCTTTGTTAGGTTTTTATTGCTGTGAGCAGACATTACGACAACAGCAACTCTTATAAAGGAAAACATTTAGTTGGGGCTGGCTTATAGTTCGGAAGTTTAATCAGTTATCATCATGGTGGGAGGCATGGTGGCAGACATAGTGCTGGAGAGGTAGCTGAGAGTTCTACACCTGTATCAGCAGGGAGTAGGAGGAGAGAGTGACACTGGGCCTGGCTTGAGCATTTTAAATACCAAAGTCTAGCCCCGTGACACACTTCCTCCAAGGGATACCTACTCTAATAAGGCCACACCTCCTAACAGTACCACTTGCTATGGGCCTATGGAGGCCATTTTCATTCAAAGCACCACAATTGCCCAGGCTGTTTTCAAACTCTTAGACTTAAATGATCCGACTCAGCTCCAATAGCTGGAATGACAGGCATGCAGTATTCTGAAGCCTTTACAACCTTTGTGCTCCTACAGTGTAGCTAGAGAACCAAGACTTTACAAAGGTATCATAGCCCAGATGGCAAATATCCTGACTGCTGTCTAGTAAGAGCAGGGGGATGCTTAGGGCCTGTGTCCCGTGACTGAGGACCCTTCCCTCTTACAGGTAGATTTCCCAGAGGTGGCCTTTGACAAACAGAGTCTTCAATCAAAGCTGTTCTAGGCCTCTAACAGCTGTATAAGTGAAACAAACCCACATATTCATGCCTACAGGTGGCCTCAGGGCTCCATGTTGACCAAACACCCACTAACAAACACGCATAAAGTCCAGGTACTTCCTGTGTCTGAACCATCATCTTTCCATCCCTCTCGGCAGCCCCCTGAGGAGCAGATATTGATTAGTACCTTGAAACTGTATCTTAACCAGAGTGAAGTGAATCGCAGGTCTCTAGGCTCATGGAACCCTCTGGAAGTGCCAGAATAATACCTAACTGTCTTGAGCAGTATCTCCTCTTCTCCCAAATTCACATGTTCCTGGAATCTCTGGACACATCATCAGTTGGAAATACAGTCATTTCAGATGTAACTAGCAAAGAGTTGTAAAGCAATCATCCAGGCAGAGAGTCAGTGACTCACGTCCACATGAGAAGTGAGAACTCAGAAACAAGGGCAGGTGGCCACACAAAGATGGAGGCCATGATTAGAATGGTACAACTGAGAACCGCAGGAAGGCCAGGAACTGCTGGAAGCTGGAAGAACCAAGGAATAAGACTCGCCGGGAACCTCCAAAGGGAATGTGGTTCTGCCAACACCTTGATTTCAGAATTCTGGACTGAAAGACTATCAGAGATTGTATCTCAGCTGTTTCTGTGGGCATTAGTTACAGGCACCATTGAAGACACATGTGCTAGCAGACACGGGGCGGGTCACCATGCTGATGCTGTCTGGAAGCCAGTCTACAGGCAAGGGTGGGAAGGAGACCAGGGTTCGATGTCCCTGTTGTCACACTGATCTTGCAGGAGATACACTTCTGTGTCCCTTACCCCGTCACCACTTCCTTTTCTCTAGTGCCTACCACATTCCTGTCACCATGCAGAGCCGTGTGACATTTCACTCAGCATTTACAAGTGTGATAGTTAGGATGTTTCTGTAATACTAGTCTAACCTTCGAGGTTCATGATGTTGTCAAGGCTGGGACGGCAGAGCCAGGGCCTGAACTTGAGCCCGCCACAGGGGCATAGATCCCACATTAATAAAAATGACAGCTAATGGCCAGGATCAGAACTCTTTCTCACCCCTACCTCTACCCACTTGCCCTTGGACCTAAGCAGCGATCTTGTCACATGAGCCCTGTCCCTTGGTGGCCTGAGGTACTCTCACTTGTCCTGTGTGTCCCAGCTTAAATGGGCTTTGTACACTCTTCATTCTGTTACTTAGTGCTTAGGAGGATTGTAGTAAGCCCTACCGTGTGTGCCTGTCTTACCCGAGGTGGCATAGGAGCACCTTTAAGCCCTACTGTGCATGCTTGTCTCACGTGAGGTGGCATGGGCACACCTCTAAGCCCCACTGTGTGTGCTGTCTTACCTAAGTTGGCATGGGGGCACCTCTAACTCAGCACTGAATCTGTAGAGTTTGACTTCTGTATATGCTATATCACCTCCAGTTCTCTAACATTAATATTAAAGACACGGAAAGGTGAGGTATCCTAAGATGTGTGTTTTAGAAGGAGCTGCTAAAAGCTCTGAGGTCTGTTTGAAAAGATTTATTTATTTTTATTTACATGTATGAATGTTCTGTCTGCATATACATATGTGTGCTCTGTGTGTTCCTGGTATCACAGAGGCCAGAAGAAGGTATTTGAGCCCCTAAAACGGGATTCACAAACAGTTGTGAGCTGCCTTGTGGCTGCTAGGAACTGAACCCAGGTCCTCTGTAAGAGCAGCAAGTGCTCTTAATGGCTGAGTCACTTCTCCAACCCCAAACTCTGAGGTTTGTTTCCCCCCACATGATTTATTATTTATTTGGTTGTTTTCTGTTTATTTAATGTGTGTGTAGGTGTATGAGTGTATGTGTGTGTGTATGCATGTGTGTGTGTCTAAGTGCTTGTATGTGTACCACATACTGCAGTGACTATGGAGGCCAGAATAGGGCATTAAATTCCCTGGAACTGGAGTTAGAGGCAGCTAGGAGCCACCATAGAGTTACTAAGAACTGAACTCCCATCCCCTGTGAGAGCAGCAAGTGTTCTAACTGCTGAGCCATCTCTCCAGCCTAAGTTCTGAGTTTTGAAATTTGATATTTAATCTTTAATTTAATAATTCTATGCACTAAAATAATGGCGTTGTATTCAATGTGACAGCCAGTCTGCATCTGAGGACGAGTATGGGTTCCCACAAACCTGGCCTTTCTCCTGATTATTTGCTTTGGTTTCCACAGGACGTGCTCTTTAAAAGCACGCCCTATTTCTAAGTATGCTTGCCTCACGGTATGTATCCCCACTTCCAGGTGACCCTGGTGAGCACTCAGGATCCTGCCTGCTGGGTGCAGACAAAGCTGGCTTTCTGGCAGGCCTGCATTTCAGTAGTCCTCTCCTCAGGGGACAGTTTGTCTGTGAGGGAGGAGGGAAGGGCCTGCCCAGGCCGGCTAACCATTCTTCCTCTTTGCCTCTTCACACAGGCTGGCCGTGGGTGACCCTGTCTGTCCTGGGGTTCCTGTACTGTTATTCACATGTGGGTATCGCCTGGGCTCAGACATACACAGTTCTCTAATGCTACTGGCCCGGGTCAGCCTGGCTGTCAGCCTTCAAGGGACATGGCATTTTGACTGAACCTCTTACTCTGAGATCATCCCTGAGGACACCTTCCATTCCGAGACCATCCCTGAGGACACCTTCCACCCCAGGACCATCCCTGAGGATGCCTTCCATTCCGAGACCATCCCTGAGGACATCTTCCATTCCGAGACCATCCCTGAGGACGCCTTCCATTCCAGGACCATCCCTGAGGACACCTTCCACCCCAGGACCATCCCTGAGGACACCTTCCATTCCGAGACCATCCCTGAGGACACCTTCCATTCCAGGACCATCCCTGAGGACACCTTCCACCCCAGGACCATCCCTGAGGACGCCTTCCACCCCAGGACCATCCCTGTTGATCACCTTCCACTCGTCTTCTGCTGAAGATGCTTCATCCTGAGTCTCACAGCTTTCTCTATCACAGAAAATGTACAACCTGAAAATCTTCTAATTCTGGAGCCTCAAAGATTTTCTGCCTACCCCCAATAAGCTTCCCAGTGCATAAGCTAGAGTTCGGAGCAGTCTCGGGTTCTTCCCAACTATACATGGTGACATCTGTTCTAAAACCTACTGTAGACCTGTTGAAAGGTTCAGTGTGGTGGACACTTATTGTCTGGGCATGGACGTCCTGGTTGGGATAGGCCTGCCTCTCTGAGACATTCCATGATGTTTTGGTGACACCTTTCCATGTTCTGTAACTGGGGACTATGGACTGACCTGCATGTAATGGTCCTTAGCAGGGAGGCAGCAAAGCCATAGCCATGTTCCATGTGGCCTGGCTAGCATGGGAGATGTGCAGGTAGAGCATTCCAGGGAGTTCTGCAGTCTGAACTTTACTGGGGCATCCACACATCTGCTGTTCTTCAAGACCTGTAGCCATGGAGTCACACAACCCTTCTTTCTCAGTGGTCCTGTCCAGCATGAGAGTTTAAAGGCCAGAAAATGGATGCTCCCACAGACAGGTGCTATTGGGCAAGTCCTCAGGAAGGGTGTTGGCCCAAGGCCCCATATGCTAAGTGTGTTTTGCTTAGTCGGTTTTGTATTATTCTCATTCAAATAACTGAGAATTTATTGTGTAGCTTTTGTTACATCGATAATTTACATTTTTCTAGATCTATTTTGGATATTTTTAAATAAAAAAATTGAGATATAAACATGCAGAACTTGACACTTCATCCCTCCAGATAGATGTTGGGCAGGCGACCGCTGACAAGTGGTGAGTGACAGTGAATTCTGCGTGGTATCACGGGGGAGAAGGGGAGAGAGGCAGCTTTCAGGACGAGCTCGTGTGTGGAACAAATGTGGACACATGCTTAACACTCCAGCTGTATGAGTTTTTACTGCATGACAATGAGGTGGAAGGGCCAACGGGGCTTAGTGCCATTTCATTCTCTGCAGGCGATTGTCCTGGATCATCCCTGGGAATATCAGCTCAGTGGAACCTGCATCCTTAGGATGCACAGCCAGTCACCAGGTAGATCTGTTTTCCTAGCTGCTGCGATTGGGAGGGTTGCGGGGGCAGATACTGAAGACTTGGAATGGGTGTGTTGTGCTCACTGGAGCAAAGGGGGCAGGTAAGCTGAGCGTTAATATGCTCACCAGTCGCTTGGTAAGGGGGAGACTCGAGGCAGGCAACTGTGGGCTGAGGAGGTTCTGAGGATCGGGGAGAGCGAGAATGGAAATGAGTGTTGTTTAGTTTCATGGACCAACGAGAGAAAGGATCTGTGGTCAGCCAGAGGGAGTCTGGGTGAGGCCTTCAAGTAGGGAAAAGGCTTGCTAGGAAAAACCATGGTGTAAAAATGGCTATCGGGAAGTGTCTAATGTGGAGACATCCTATAAATAATGTAGGCAATGTTGCACTCTCCCAGAGAAGCCATCTGCAAAAAGGCAGGCCTATTCATGAAACTACGCTGGAAGAGTCAGTGAGTGCACTCGGTTGCTAGAAGCCTGAAGTTTGTTAAAACCATCTGATTTCCATTGAGGTCTCAGGAGCTAATGGACACTGCTTGTTAGTTCTCTATGTGGCTTATCCAGGGCTCTTGTCATCCTGCCTCTCCCTACTCCCCACAGTGACATGGCAGAAATACCTTCCTCTGCTACAGTCTCCACTCGCTTTTCAGACCCTTGAGGCCGGCTCCTGGGCAGCAGTCAGTCATCTGGCCCTGGCAACTCCGGCAGCAGTTCTGGAAAAACACTGGATGAGGTCCTGAGTCACTGACAGCCCTAGGAGCAAGGCCAGGAGCGCAAGTCCACTGCCAAGAAAAAGCCCGAGGAGGGGAGCAAGATGCCCAGAGCCAAACTAAGTCATCATCCACGTCAGACATTCCCAGATCAGTGTTTTAAAAAGATTTAATACATTTATGTGTGTCATGTGTGTGCAAGTGTCTGCGAGGCCAGAAGAAGGTACTGGATCAGCTGGAGCTGGAGTTGCAGTTGGTTGTAAGCTACATGTATGTGGTCACACATGCAGGCCGTGGGAGACAAGCCCAGAACTGCTGAGAGATCAGAAAGCACCCGACTGGATGGCACACAAAGAAAAAGGCGAACACAAGTATCACGTATAAAATAGTTTATTACCATAATAAATAAAATTAAACTTTGTTTTTTACAAATATCATTTGTGCTTGTTTAAAAATGTCAAGAAGGGGGTATCATCCATGGAGCGCCCAAATCATCCCCCCGCCACAGCCACACAATGGAGCTCTTGGCAGCACCCAAAGCTGACCACAAAAATAGCCTCTGCTCATTTGCACTTCCGTTTATTCATGCTCACTCAGACATAGGTGAAAAAGAAACGAAGAACCCGAGAAAGGATTTGGCAGGATTTGATGGAGAGTGTTCGTATGAGAAGCCCCAGAATGACGAACTGCTCATGGGTATAAATGTCCTTGTAATGTGGACAGTCTCCAACTGATGCACAGATACAGTGTCTGAATACTGAGAGGCTACATTCGTGAGGGGTGTTGCGTTTTCACCATAAACGCAGTCTGACTTCTGGTAGGAGAGCTGCAGACTCCTCAAGGTCCCGCGGGTCAGTCGGATGACTCAGAAGTCACAGTCAGTGTGGCTCTAAGGAAGGCCAAGTGGCAGGTAGAGATGCCCCTACCAGGTCTGGCAGGAATTCGAGGCCATCTTTAAAGGTTCTGATACATTACTATGAAAACCGAAGTTCTTAAGCTGCAGGTAAATTCACATTGATTCCTTTGAACGGTGGGAGGCAGCAAGGAAAGCATCTCAACACCAATGCCTTGGGTGGAAAATGGTCCTTTCTTGGGAGTTTAGGGTCAGGGCTTCAAGAACACTGAAGACTCCTCCAGATGGAGAACATGGGAGCTGGTGAAGACAGTTTTTACTGAAGCGAATAAAAAGGCAGTATATGGAGCAGTAACCATGACAGGAACAGGTAGGTAGGAGAGGCCGTCCAAGAACTTGAGGGGATCTACACAGGCCTCCTTTCTAAGCAACACGAGGAGACGGGGTAGGAAGGGGCACTGGGACCCCCACTGCAGCTAGAATTCCATTCTAGGGTCTTAAGGCAAAACATCTTTATTGCAGAACGGAGTACAAACAATTTAGTTACGTGTACATCTACAACTTGTACCTTCGCCAGGGCTCCCGAGAGGCCCCGGAGTGTACCTGTATGATGTCCATGTGATGAGGAGATGTGGCTCTGCCGCCGACAGGTATTTCTACAGAGTTTATTCAGTCCCAACTCCAACCAGGACGCACCTGGCATTTGTCTTACGGTTCCCTCCTTCCACCTAGAGGTTTGGAAGCTGAAGCCTGTGCGTGGTGGCGTAAGGTATTTCTACTCCTTACCCAACCATCCTCACTGTGGAAGCAGCACACAGGCTCTAAGAGAAGAAGGCTAACGAGGCCCTGGGACAAGATAACAAGACATCAAGGTAATAAATGTGTTTCCAGAGGGTCGCTGGGGAAGGGGCAGAGGTATCGTTCAGTGGACGAGATCTTCCCCAGCATGGGCAAGGGCGTGACTTTGACCTCCAGCACTGAAAACAAAGTCTGCTGGGAGGCAGCTGTGTTAGGCACAGCAGTCGAACACTCGGGCTCTGCTCCAGTATGAAGCAGAGAAGTGGGGTTAGCTGTGCCTAGACCAGAGCATCCCAAAGCCTGTCATGTGACCAGTGGAGGAATCCGCAGCTCCCTTTGGGATGGTATAGCTGACGAGGCAATATGCCTGCCAGAACCAGAACACTGGCTCTGCCGTTTTGGTTCTGATGCCTAGCCCACTCTACCGCACGACCTCAGGAAGAAAGCAGGTTCATCCACCCATGTGGGACTGCTCCCTTTAAACTAGCCTGCCAGGATAGACACTGGGAAATGGAGCTTCACTGTGGGTGACATTCACAGCAGCTGACCAGGTGGCCGGCACCTACTGGACAGCCATGTACCACATCCTGTGCTTGTCCCCTCCAAGGGGACATCATTTTTTCTGAAATCTCACTGTTCGGTCCGATATCCAGTGACCTTCTGTTTCCCAGTCTCTCCTCAGCTACCAGATCGTGACTAAGACATAAAGGTGAGGGGCATTGGTATCTGAAGCCTGTGGTCCTTGCTCAAGACACACCTGTTGTCCTTGTGAAGCTGGCACAAAACAGCTCCGGTCCAATGCTTGCCGTGAAAGTAGAGAGATGGGTTGGCTCATTTATGATTTATTTTAGAGAAGGCAATCATAGCAAAAATGCTATAGAAATGGAGAAAATAAAGCCACCCTTGTGTGTTCTTCACTTGCACCTTCAGGAACTCTTAGGTCCTAGACTCCTGGAACCCCAAGATGATCAGAGACACCCCTTGCAGAGTGTGGACCTCAGCCTAACATGACTTCAATTTTCACTAACCCCAGAGTACAGCCTGAAGCTTTATCTGTCCCATGACACAAGGGGGGCCTCTCCAGCACCCCCAGCATCTGGATCCCTCACATTTGAAGGAGATTCACCCCTCAGAAAGAGCTGTCAAGGAGTAGCAAGGCCTCTGTCCACTGGCTGGCCAGGTGCTAGAGGGCCCACTAAGTCCCAGAGAGTTCCAGATGGATCTCTAGCCATAGGTGCTCCCCAGGCTGAGTGTTGCACGACATGGGTTCCATCCTACCTTAAACTTAGCGATCCTAAGCTAAGAACCAGGCTATTGAATATGTGTGAGGAGTGGGACATTGCGGGGCAGCTGGCAAACGGGACTGCAGTATCTCAGTTTATTTCGAGGGGTAGTTGGTGGCAGCTCAGGAGACTGTGGGTCTCACTTTCCCCAGAGTCACCAGTGGGTATCTTTAAATGCTGCCATCTGACACTGGTCATAGAGTCTCGGCCTAGGGATGCAAGGAGCCCTCCCTATGCAGTGTGTTAAAGGCTACATGTGCACACACCCTTGATTTCCCAGTGCCACCCATTCTGTACAGACAGCCACACGTCAAGTCCTGGCCTCTGGGCAGAACACTAAGCATCTTTGGTAGGGCAGGTCTTGCACGGCGGGTTCCCTAGACAGCCAAACAATGCTAAGCAGGAGCACCCGTGGCTCTCACTCTCCTAACAGCTCCTTCAAATCTCTTTGCAGAGCTGAGGTTCCAGGCTCACCGGGTAGGGTCCAAGTGGGCCCCTGAGCTAGCTCCTGTGTCCTGTGTCCTGTCCCGTGCCATCAAGAAAAAGACCTCAAGTGACTGAGGCAGTAAGTGTTCCTGAGCATCATGGTGTGGGAACTTGGATGCCATGGACATGGCCCTGCAGCCATGGCTCTGAGCCTCAGCCTCCCCCTCAGCTAATCACTGAGACATTTTGAAAACCAATGCATCATCCATTCTTTCTCTCCAGCTCCCTAAGAGAGAATAATCATGGTCCTGCCATTATTTTTAGAGTAGGAAATAGGTTGACTTTCAAATAAGGCTCCCATGTGACCTCGAATGATCACATGCCCTGGACAAAAATCCCATGAGAATCAAAATAGAAAGCTAGTACTTGCTACAATCATTTTTGAGGTTGTGTGTGTGTGTCTGCTGTGTTAGGAAAGCATTGCTGAGCTCCTGCCCCTTCCGTTCAATGCCCCACACCCTGAGGAAAGCCATGGGCAAGCTTGGGAGGAGAACGAGGGAGAAGCAGAGAGTTCCATGTTGTGAGGCCTATAGCATGGGGATTATCTGGATCTGGGAGCATCCACATCAACCATCCCACAGAGCAGGCTGCGGACCACACAACAGAGCCTGCTCAGAGCTGAGGGCCCTCTCAGCTTACCCTGACCTCACCTCTTCTGGGCAAGGAAACCTGAGGAGCCCAGCCCGCATGTCCATGGTGCAGTACCAGATGCTCCACCTCTGCCACAAAGTGGGAAGGCTCTCCCATCTGTCAGGCTCCCCTTAACGAGAGCTTGTTAGAAATGACAAGAATAGGAAAACAGGCAATGACGTCAGACATGGCTGCACGGGGTGGTGAAGGCCCAGAAGTCCCGGCGCCTGTCGTGGTCTTCAGAGGGCTTGGTAAAGAAGCCCGACATGGTTCCTGGGGCTCTCCCACCAGTGTCTCCATGGCTGCCGCCCTTTTCTGGTGGCTTCCATCTTTTATAAATCACATTGGTAAGACATTCTAAAGGAAGCGCTCTTCAGATAGATGGCATGCTTCTTCTTCCCCAGCTCTCAGGAGTTGGTGAAACACAACAGCCATCTTACAGGGTGGGTGCCTGGCTGCGTTCCTGCTTATATTTTCCAGAGACCTCACAGCCACACCTATGCCCTTTGGTCCCACTTTGACTTCCTGTCAGGAAAAGCTTATTTTGAAAATTGTTGGTCATGTGGGCGGTGTGGTGAGGGGCGTCGAGGGCAAGGGGATGGGCTTTTGTCTTTGATTTTTGATAGTTTGTATTTCAATGATCCTCTCAACTTGCTCCAAAAATGTCTTTGTCTGACTCTGGGGACTGGGGCCTGGAGATCTCACACATCTCCTGAGGGGACTGGGCAGATCCTCTGGACATGAGTATCCTGAGTATCTCAGAAAGCTGCTTCTCGATGGCGGTCATTTTGGCATTCAAGGCCTTGATGTCCTCCTTCAGCTCATGCTTCACCTCCAGAACGGTGGCCTGCAGCGTCTGCTCAGGGATGGGGTAGAAAGAATGCTTGACCTCAGCCAGGATGGGGCTCCGGTCCTGGGGACTCCTAGCCTCGCCCACACTGTCCAGGCGCAGGTCACTCTTGGTGATGCCGCTGTCACAGGAATCTGTCTTCTTCAGCGTGGCCTCTCCTGACGCCTTTGTCCTCTCGGGCAGCGTCTCCATGGACTCTGCCTTGGAGACCTTGTTCCAGTCCTCCCCTTTCCCACAGGCATCTCTGAAGCGGGCCCAGCCTTTGCGCTTGGCGCAGTCACCGCTGCCTGCCTTGGGACCTAGGCACTCAGATCCCGGAGCGTGCAGCTTGGCGTGGTCTGGCACTGTGGAGGTGGAAGCCACCTGGAAGGACACAGGCGTGGCAGGGCTCTCACGCACCGTGACCACGCTGGCCTTCACCAGGCTGTGGTTGGCTGAGGTGTGGTCCGTGAGGGCGTTGCCCTTCTCTACGTCTAGGTCT